CGGGCTGATTGATGAGTTCCATGGTGGTATGGAGTAACTGCTTGACTAGATGAAGCAAAAGGATCATTAGCCAAACAGATGTATAACTAGGTTTAGGAATGTTACCAAGAATTTGGTGACAGTTAACCAATTCAGCAGGATGGTATTTGGTGACTAACTCCAATGGAGGCAGAACAAAAGGTTGACTAGATGGGACCATGGCTTTGGAAGGAGGCCGTGGACGAGACATCTGTGAAATAAAGGAGATAAATTAGCATCCACTGAGGATATCTAATTGATCAGTATGTTCATGTAAACAGTTAATATAATGAGCAAGTTGTTGTTTCTGAGCTTTAATCCGATGAAATTGTATGTACTGGGTTCTTTTAGTAGGTAAATGGGTTGATTTGAGAAAGGCAAGGCGACGAGCAGTATGCTTAATCAGGGATATCTAATTGATCAGTATGTTCATGTAAACAGTTAATATAATGAGCAAGTTGTTGTTTCTGAGCTTTAATCCGATGAAATTGTATGTACTGGGTTCTTTTAGTAGGTAAATGGGTTGACTTGAGAAAGGCAAGGCGACGAGCAGTATGCTTAATCAGGGATTTGTAATGTTTAATTTTCTGTTTATGGGTTGAAATAGAGGGAATAGGCATTATTATCCACCCTGTAAAAATTCTCTGGTAAGAAAATCAGGAATAGAATTTTGACAACCAGGAATATATTCAATGTCAAAATCAAAAATACTTAATATAGATTGCCATCGGGCAAAAATTTGCTTACTAGCAAGATTTTGAACATCTTTTTCTAAAACATACTTACCAGATTTACAATCAATACGAAGTAAAAATTTTTGATTTAAAATATCATCTTGAAATTTACTAATACATAAAACAGTAGATAAAATTTCTTGTTTAATAGTACTATAATTCTTTTGTGCTTTATTCCAGACACCAGAATGATAACGAACAATTTGTTCAGATGACTGATGAGTAATTTTCTGGAGAAGGATGCCACCATAACCAATATCAGAGGCATCAGTTTGAATAATTTTGAATGAATTCTCAGTAGGAATACCAAGACAAGGAAGAGACTTGACACAGTGTTTAACTTGTTTAACAATAGCAGTATGAGTAGGAGACCAAGGAGGATGATTGTCTTTTAACCTATCAAACAAGGGTTGACAAGTTTTCCTAAGGTCTTTATAAAATTCAGCAATGTAATTAAGTGATACTAAAAAGCATTTTAATTGGGTTTTATCTAAAATTTCATCTGGAAACTTAGACGCAAACTCAATGGATCGACTAATAGGTAGAATAGTATTTTGGTGAATATCATATCCTAAAAATCGGACTTTGGTTTGAAATAATTTAATCTTAGGAGCAGAAATAACTAGACCATGACTCTTAATAGTATAAAAGAATGTAGTAAAGTGTTTCCAGTGTTCATGAATGGATTTAGAGAAAATAAGTATATCATCAATGTAAACGATGGAAAAATGACTAAATGGATTAAAAATATCATTCATTATATTTTGAAATTCACTAGGAGCATTTTTTAATCCAAACGGCATGGCATTCCAGTCATAGTGACCAAAAGGTGTAGTGAATGCAGTTTTATATCTATCTTTATGATGAATCTGTATTTGCCAAAAATCACTTTTTAAATCAAATTTACTAAAAATAACAGCTTGACTAAGTCTTTTGATTAAGTCTTTTTTATTAGGAATAGGATATCGAATCCATTCTAAAACTTTATTTAATGGTTTATAATTGATGACTAAGCGAGGGACACCTCGTTCTAATTCAGCATTTTTATTAACATAAAAAGCAGGATAAGACCATGGTGATTTACTAGGACTAATAATTTGATTTTTTAATAGTTCATTGATTTCTTTTTTACACATTTCAACTAATTCATGATTCATTTGAATAGGTCGAGATTTAGTAGGAATTTGTCTTTCATTAAAATTCTTAATGTATGGTAAAGTGACTACATGTTTTTTCCTATGCCAAAAGGCAGTTGGTAAAGTAGAACAAACACTTGTTTCTACTTTTAATTTAAATTCTTCAATTTGAGATATAACAACAGGATCAGTTAATTGTTGTTCAATGCGTTTATAATTGACTTCTTCTTTGAGAAAACGTAACTGACGAGTTAATCGATTAATAGATTGAGAAATAGAACAGTCTTTTAATTGATTTAATTCTAGCATTTCAGGTGGAGATAAAATTTAAAAGTAACAGGTTGACCTAAAGCATGAGTAGTTATTCCATCACTAGAGGTGGTAAATGGATATAATATGAATATAAATGGTGTACCTAAAATAACTTTATCAGTCATATTTTTGACTAAAACAAAGGAGGTTTTAAAACAAACATTATTTTGACATATATGAACTTTGGGTAATTTATATTTAATATGCATTTTACTACCATTAGCAGAAGTTAATTTTTCACGACATTTTTCATAATATTTAGTAGGCAGTAATCCTTCTTGAATACAATTAAAATCAGCGCCAGTATCAATTAAAGCAATAATATTTAATTCAAAATCATCAATAACTAATTTAACTTTTGAATACAATTTTTGAATATGAATTTTATTAATAAGATTTAATCGTTTATTGTCAAGATTATGAGATTGAGATTGATGTGATCGATTATCAAACATGAGATTATCAGGGTTAGTATGATCATCAGATTCATGTTCAGATTCATTAGGAGATTCATCATTGTTGTCTTGGAAATTT